TGCTGAGCAAATGATGTTTTTGTACTATCCAATACTTTTAATGCTACAAAAGAACGGTACATGCTTATTTAAAAAAGAACATATCAATAAAATCTACACAAAATTCTCTATCTTTTAGCATCAGAACGCAACCTTCTGATCAAGTCTAATTTGAGAAAAAAGCCTATCAAAAACCGGCAATTTCCTCTGCCGTACCCGTTATCTACAGTATATATAACAGAAGACAAAAGAATAATTATACTTCTTTTTTTTTACTTTAATTAGACTATGACACAAAAGAAAAGATCATGATTATTTAATGTCACACACTTACAAAATACAAAATGTGTGTACTTTATAGTTAAAAGTTAATATAACATGTTTAAAATGAAATTTAAGGTATTAGTTGCCACTCTAATCATATAATTTATTGTGCATTTATTAATTATTTCAATAGTATTTGTACACTAAAATAGTGTTACATACATAGAGATCAAGAAAATATGGATTATCTCTATTGTAAATAAAATAGGTAAAAAATATCTACCAAAAAATATTAATTAGACACTTTTTTAAAGTCAGTATTTGTTGTTTTTTACCTATTAGTCACTTATCACTATATGATTGTATTTGACATTTTTCTTGTGGGCATTGACACAAAGACAAATAAGAAGAAAAAAAAAATTGCAAGAAAAGAAATACATATACAATTGTACAGTTACTCGGTCACTATAATAATAATAATATTCAGAATAGAAGAGAAAAAAAAGGTGAAATTATTATTTCGAGTGTTTTTTCTCTCTCGATTACTCACACTCAGTTTTTATAAATAAATACAATAATAACTACAAAAAATGGATAACTACAAAAAAATACAAAAAAATTATTACAAAACGGTGAGCTTTCATCATTTAATATTTTTCTATTTGACAGTGATTTTCCACAAGGGAACATTTTTTTTGATATAATTCAACTTATAGTTTTTATTTATCATATGAAGAGTGGGAAAGAAAAGAAGAGAAAAAAAAATAAGAAAAAATATGTTTTTGATCCAAAACACATTTGATGTTGATATTTGCATCCTCATCGTTGCTTATATATATATATATATTTTTTTTTTACAGATTTATTTTTTGCAGCTAAAGAAAGACACATTCACTTGTTGTGTCCTTTGTAATACTTGCTATTAATTTAGCTGAGAGGGAAAATAAAAAAAGAAAAAGTCTTATTGTTTATTAACTAGATACTGTCTATTACTCTGTTGTATAAAATAAGTATACCTTGTAATATTTAGACAAAAATATTTTCTGTTTTTTCGATAGAAGAAACCCGTCAACATCCTTACTTTAAAGATTGATAGAAAAATTTCTTGATTATTGAGTACTATTCGATGAAGATAGTAGTGTTTGACTTTTTTGTGTGAATCTATTTAAATAATATCCGCATGACTTGACTCTTCTTTGTTCGTTCATAGCTTTTTTTTCTTTCTTTTACAAATGAAGTTATTACTGAAGTACTATCAAAATTACAAAGGACAACTATCTTTCTTTCTACCTCTTTAGTGATTGAAGGTCACATTTTTGAAAATTATAATAATGATTGATGATGTTTTTCAAATGAACAGATATGTATCGTACAAATGATTATTTTATTTTTTTGTTTTAGGCAACAACAACAACTCGAACGTGTTAAAAAATGGCTTCAATTAAGAAATCGTGACGTCGATCGACGTTCAGCTGTTGAAGAAAGAAGAAAAAAACGTGAAGAAGAAGCAAAGGTATAGTTGGAAATTAGATTATTTGTAAATAAAAGAATTTTTACAAGTATTTGTTTTATGACTATCTTAGGTTAAAATAGAAGAATTGTTGAAAAAAGAGAAAGAACGTGCCGAACATTATCAGCAGCGTGCGGTATCGCAAGTTACACTTAGCCTGAGGTAAATAAAGATGAAGAAAGGTGTTATAGCATTACTTTATCACTGCTTTTTCTTTCTTTCTGTAATCAACAGAACTAAACCAGATGTTATGAGTCAATCAACAGATGTTTTATCATCTACACGACGTGCAGTTTCAGCATCGCGTCCTCGAATATTAGCAACACCAACCAATCAAACAGGTATGAAGTGGTGACTACGTTGAGCATGTTCTATATCTAAAAACGAAGTTTTTGTGTCATTAAATTGAAATCTTCAGATTTACTCAAGCGCTCATCAGTCTTTTTGTTCACTAACAGTATGACTCAACAAGAGACGACTGGTAGTATTTCCGAAACCCGAATTTTCTCTTCCAATTTAAATGCGTCGATATGTTGTGATAGATTCTAGTCATTTTTCTTTCTTTAGATATGACTAATCGCCGTACTCCAAATCATTCTCCTGTTCCCACATCCACCGGATCCCCATCTCATGGTTCAATCGGTAAGTGTAACAAGAAAACAGTTAAATTCATCTTGTAATTCTGTATTTTGTGAACTTAAATTGAGTTTGAGGCTATGACGGAAATATGTCGTTTTTACGCTCTCACTCGCTCTTTCCATCATTATTCATTTTAGAAGACGTCTAAAATAGAACATGTATATTTTGTAATTTTGTGTTTTTGTTCAGTTCTTTCTTATTGTACTTTTTTTTATAGCAGCCGGTTCTCATCATCTAAACCCAATTAATGAACGTACACAAAACTCTAACGATATAGCAGGCACAGCAACTACTACTGCTGCTACTACGGATAGTTCGTTAACAGGTTCGCCACGTTCAACGGCGCGTTCGACGAACTGTTACTACTATTGGTTGAATTTACCTTCCTCAAATTTTATGCGTTCAACGTACGCGGCTACGTGTCGTTCAAGACTGAGTCGTAGTGTTGAAAGATGTCCCAGAGCTGCTAGAGGTAATCAATACCTGGATCTTATAAAAAAACGCACTAATGAAAACACTCTTGTCGCCGCCAGACACTTACACTATTAAAAATCTGTTTACTTCTTGTCTTGATAGGCATGCAACGGTTCCGACCAATTTCGGTGTTTGATGAGAACCAATAGCCGTTCTGGCCATGGTCAATAGGAAACGTTACTCGTTCCATTTGATAGTCATCAAACACCAGAACTGGCGCATCCCTAGCCATGTAATGCTTGTTTATTGTTATTGACAAATAACAAATGCTTAATGCTTCGATTGAATGCTGCCGTGCTACGTCTTTTTGTTTATTTTTTACGCTTGGTTGTATTTTAAGTTGGGCAGTTTATTACTAACGGTGTGTTTTTATTTCATTATTCTTTGTGTGTACTATTTCTGTGTTCAATTAGATAATCTCATTTGTAGTTCTATCTGTTACTATTATTATTAATATCCAGTTGCAATAGCTTACGCCGAGACGAATGTGCATTTTATCATTAAAAAAGACGACCACTAAAATTAAAAACAACGAATATGAAAAATCTTTTCAATATGTCATCGTTTTTTCTGACTGGCTTATTTCTTATGGATAAATACCTATTGTGCTTTAATGCTTCGTTTATGCGTTACAATTTATCCTTAGTGTATTCTTTCCTTCACTCTGCTACTGGTATATGTTTATCTTTCTTTTGTTTTTTTCTTTAGGGCGAGAAGAAACAAATGGGATTGCTGTAGCGACCAATGCTTCAACGAATGTCGAACGTCGTGCTCAAAGCGTTAATCGCTCACACTTGAATGATACAATTCGTCGTTTGTCCAAACCAAAACCAGTGAAAACAGCGTCGAGTGATTTAATGGCGCAATCAGTTAATGTTGGTATGCTAACATCTCAGTCAAGTCATCAGTTACGAACACAACCACAACAACCAACGACTATTGCTCGTCGTGTATGTCCTCTTATCGATATTTTTTATATTTTCTGACATGCTGTTTGTTTCTTTACTTTCCTAGGCTATCCCACGATCAAACGCTACGGCAACACAACGTTCATCTCCGAAACAACAGAATGAATCACATACATCAATAACACCAACATCATCTGGTATCAGTTCATTAAATGATGAAATGAATAACGATATGTCCGAATCAGCAACAGTTTCATCTGATATTTGTCAACCACCGCAACGTACCCTGAAACATTCGGAAGCACCTAGAACGGGTTCCTCGCCAAATCGCTCAACTAAACCACCAATATCTTCCAATACCCGTTTAACGTCAAAGCCGAAACATGCCTCAACTACATCTAATCGATCTATACCATCATCTTTATCCTCATCATCTTTATCGACATCAGTCACTGCGCATAATAATAATTCGGCTGAACGTTTAACATCGAAATCACAAAGTCGAAAACCGAGTCTTCCCAAAACATTTGAAATTCACTCAAAGAAAAAACCTATTTCAGAAACAACTAAAACTATTCCAACTAAAGACGTGCAACGCGAACAAAACGAATTGTTCGAAACAGCTATAGTGGACAGCAATAATAATGAAATAAACGAAACAGATAACATTACAGAAACATCTGCAGAGGTGATTATCAATAACACGGAAAAAGATGTTCAGTCAGATAATATTAGTAAGGTGGAAAAGGTAGACGCCAGCGAATCATCTCACACAAATTCTGCTGAACCAATTGATATAGATTCCATATCAAACGTTATAAATAATACTCATCCATCCGTTTCTGTTCAACCTGTACTAACAAAACGTGAACAACAACAAATAGATGAACAAGACTATCAGCGTAAATTAGCGGAAAAACGACGTGAGGCTCGTGAACGTTTTGAAGAAGCAAAACGTTTAGAAGAAGAACGACAACGACAACTAGAATTAGAAGAACAGCAACGTGAAGAAGAACAACGAAAACTTGAAGAAGAACAAA